CCATGACAAAGCTGGAGAAATGGACAGAAGCACAAGGCATGGTCGTGTTTCCTAGCCTTGAGGAGTTGGATATTCCGGATTGCCCCGAGCTCAAAACATGGTGGGCAAGCAGCAGCGAAGGCAGAGGGGATTCAATTACACCATTTCCAGTTTTGAGAAAACTTACTTTAAGATACTTGAAAAATCTGGAGAAATGGACAGAAGCACTAGGCATAGGCGTGTTTCCTTGCCTTGAGGAGTTGGATATTCATAATTGCTCCGAGCTCAAAACATGGTGGGCAAGCAGCAGTCAAGGCAGAGGAGATTCATTTACACCATTTCCAGTTTTGAGAAAACTTACTTTAATCAACATGACAAAGCTGGAGAAATGGACAGAAGCACAAGGCATGGTCGTATTTCCTTGCCTTGAGGAGTTGCATATTCAGGGTTGCCCCAAGCTCAAAACATGGTGGGAAGATGGATCTGCATGTCCAAATCTCTCTATACTTGGCATACAATCATGTCCGGAATTGCAGGCTATCCCAATTGGGCTGTCGAGCTTAACATCTCTTGTTATAAACAATTGTCCCAATTTAATGGGGTATGCTCAAAAAGGCAGCCACAAATGGTCATCCATTTGCCATGCTCATAGGATCGAAATCAATGAGCGGATTGTGCAAATCCGAAGATTTTGATTTTTCAAAGGTATGTTAAATCTATATTTCTCAATGCGATCTCTTCATGCAATATTTTATTTATTTATCTAAATTAGGCTGGTGGTTGAACAGTTACATTTGTTTTATGATCTTAATATCTGGTTGAATCCCTTTATCCCAACGATCTTGAGCCAAATAATAATCTAATTCTTTACATTCATTTTATGATCTTAATATCTGGCTGAATCACTATTTTAGTGCATCTATCATTTCAACACCTTCTTGTCCATCTGATCATATGTTATCTCTCTCTAGTCCCCTTTTCGAGACAACGCTGGATAAGGAAGATACAGATTGAGGATTGAAGAAAGGAATATATGCCATACGAACTTAATTTTACAGAGGTAATTAATCTTTTGCTGATTGCTCTATTCTTGATTAATCTAGGGTGAATTTCTTACCCTCCGTTTAAAGCAACAGCAAGTTATATGCACCATACTTCTATTATATATTTGTTTTATATTAACTGATGGTTAAGTTACAAGCTAAAATGTCTTTAAAAATCTACTAGGAAAGTTAAAAGTGATGTTTTGCAGCGTAATGACATAATTGCAAGCAATTTCTTCTCTCATCAAAGTTTAATTTCTGATTATATAGAGATCAGTGTATTGCACTCTTTCATTCATCGTGCTAATTTTGCTTCAGACAAAGAAGAAAA